TTGTGAGGATGAGGACTCCCCCCTCTCACTTTGGGGTTGCTGCTCAAGAGTTCTCTGACCAGTGAGGGGTTGAAACTGGGTTCGATGCACTTCCTGGGAGTAGGTTGAATGCGTCGAGTTTGTTATGATCCCTGCTCCCTGGGATAGCCATTTTGCTGCGTTTCTCGATTTCCAAATGTTCCCATTTGGATTGTTAATTGGTGTTATCCTTTGCTGCATCCGGTTGGGCGTAGGATTGTTAATTGGTGTTCTCCTTTGCTGCATCTGGTTAGGCGTACTGGGTCTAGCATATGGCATTGATCCGAATTGCCTGAACAGATTATGACGCATTGCCCCTTGATAAAACAAGAGGGAGTCTTGACCTTTTGCTCTTTTTGAAGTCATGTTGAGCATCTTGCCCACGCTTTCTAGCTTAAGAGAGGAAAACTAAGAAAATAAATAGAAAAGGGGATCAAGGGATAATGGAGGATAGCGGAAGTGAGTGCTATGAGGAATGCGAGACTTAGTACGAGAGGGCGAATGAGAGGTCTAAAAATATGAGTATGGGTGAGTGGGCTGGGGGAGAGCGAAAATGGCCTAGGGTTGGCGCGGTTTGAGTGAGAGGAAGGGGGAAGGAGGGAGGGCGAAAAGGATGAGAAAAAAAAAGGATGGAGAGGGGGGAGGAAACCCGTGGCAGTAGAGCTGCTACGACCCGAGAATGCAGATGATGATGGAAAATTGATGAGGGCGTGCTATGTCCCTGTTTCAGAGAGTTGGGCAGAAGGAAAGGGTAGGTAGATGGGGATGGAGTAAGAGGAAAGCGTAGGTGGAAGGGGAGGGGGGAGGAGTGGCCTGCGATGGCAGTAACGCTAGGACCAGAAAGTAAGGATGGTGTTGGAGAGATAATGGGGTTGTACCCTGTCTGCTCTCCTCTGAGTCTGTTTTTTGGTGAAGGGGATTTCCCTCACTAAATTAGTGAGATAATTCTTTATCGATGTTACCTTGTTACTCTTGGTTATCTTAATTCAACAGCAACTGGCTGGAATATTTTATGTTATATGGGGGAGGCAGGGAGATGGCATTGGGAGGGGAAGAAACGCACCTTTTTTGTTCTGGCATCACCTCTGCTTTTCTGTTGCTTCCTCCGTGTTACCTCCGTACCGAGAGTTTATCCGGAGATGATGTCTCCTTTCTCGTCTTGATAATCTGCCTTCCCCTCGATCCCTATCCCTTTCCTCTACTCCAGACCTAGTACCTTGACTCTGACTACCTCCCTCTGACGTAGAGTTATCTGAGCTAATAATGGAGGAACGTGAGTAGAGAGATTCTTAATTAGAGATGGCTAGCCATACCCTACTATTTTCCTGAATTCCTGTTGTCGTCTCTACCCAACCATCACCCTCCTTTCTATCGACGATAACCCTAACTTTCTTTCATGGTACTGGAAAAATTGACTCTACTTTTGACTGACTTCTTTGAGCTCTATGGTAATTGACGAATTCTTAGGGCTAAGCACTCTTCTTCGTAGCAGTCTATAAATAAAATCCCTATTTGGATCAACTCTGCTTATTGTGATGAATTTGCTCTCCTTCTCACACTTTTGTACTCATACCACTAAGGAGAACACCCTAGCGAGAGAGTAGTGTATTCTTCCTTGACGAAGACCGCCAATCGGGGGTAATTCACTCGGGATACTTGTCACCTCTGACGTCGACGCTTCTTTTCACACACACTTCCGTTCGATCGGCAACACTCCGCTATACCCCTGTCACTCAGGAAGACTCCCAGATGAAAGACAAGATACCCTTCGCTGGGAAGGACTGTCATTCAGGAGTACCATACTTGGAACACCTGTCACTTTCAATAACACATGTCAGGAACTCGCTTCACGTCAGCCCGTGACGTGTCCAGTTCGAAGATGCCCACCACTACACACGCGTGCGTTAGGCGCCCACTGTCCCTCGGTTCGGTCACTCCCATCCTGTGAAACCGCGCGCTGATTGAGCGCGCGGTCGGCGTTAAAGATTTTGAGCGCCGCTCAATCCCGCGCTCAAAGCGCCTTCAGCGGGGTTTGAGCAGGCGTGGGGATATTTTTTGGGGGGTAAAAAATGCTCAAAAAACAAAACAAAAAATATAGGGTTGTAGATCTCTTTGAGATCTACAACCCTATGTTTTTTATTTTATTTTCACGGAGATTGTTTGGTAGGCAACCAATAAAAAAAAAAAACAAAAAAAAAAACTATAAGGTTGCAGATCTTTTGGAGATCTACAACCCCATTTTTTATTTTTATTTTTTAAGTTCATATGTATGTTAAAAAAAAGGGGAAATTTTCGAAATGCCCCTGAAGTTTGCGTTTATTTGCGGCGTACCCCTGTGAAGGCCGACTTACCCTGTTATGCCCCTCGGACCTTTGAACTTTTCCGCAGGCCCCTGTCAGCACGGGGCGTAACTTTCCGATATGCCCTTACTGGGCCGCTGGTTGCATTTCGTCGGTCCATCCTTGAAATGCCCTCACGAGGGGCACACATCTTTCTGTGATGCCCTTGAGAAGTGGCGGCAGTACTTCTAATTTGAAAATTGTAGGTACTTCACACGTCTTCTTGGTGCCATCGTCGGTGCACGTGCACGCGCGGGCGCGTGTGTGTGTGTGTGTGTTCACATCATCTTTCCTTTTCTTGTTGGTTGTTGTTTGTGTGTGTGTGTGCGTGTCGTTATGTCCCTCCACTTCGACATTCTGGACGTATAGAGCGATCGTCGTGCATTCAACTTTGGAGCATCCGAATGTATCTGGTGCATTGACAACGCCAGATACATTCAGACATGGATGCATAGGG